TATCTATCTATCTATCTATCTATCTATCTATCTATCTATCTATCTATCTATCTATCTATCTATCTATCTATCTATCTATCTTCTGTAATTACTGTAGGTGATCATTACTCATTCCCCTGAAATATTAATACAGTAGTACACAGTGTGAAAGGAAGTGATCAATATTAATCTTGGCTCACACACAAGCATATGCAAACACACAGACTTAGTCCACTAAAGCTCCATTAATAATCAAGAAGTGTTCAAGCAAGCATAAGAGTGTGAATGCAAATATCATGGACTTTTGAGTTTTGAAATGCGTTAAGGGATTGTCAGTGCTGCTCAGCTTCTGACCGAAAGGAAATTTCATAGCAGATTTAAAACATGGAAGAGGTTATGATGAACAATTTTCAAAAGGAAACACTATAAGAATGTCTGGTGTGCTGTTTCAGGTGTGTTGCAAGTGAAACGTGTCACGTGAAAATTGTAGACGAGGAGCATAAATCATAAAGTGGGTGGCAATTGTATGAAACTAGTTTGACAGGTTTTTTGATCTGTCAACCAGCATAGCGTGAGCACTTGTCTATGGGTCAGCCCCCCATACTAATTTAACATATGCCGCAGAGGAGTAAAATGGAGTCAAGGGACAAAAACTGTCAACCCAATGAAACTGTTTTCCAGTTGATGAACCCATTCATGTTTATGTACCAAAAAATGCCCCAAATCCCTTCAAGATAACCCCTTTGTGATCGGAAGCAAACCTAAAGTTGACATTATTTGTCATGAGAGATTACTTTCATGTTTTTATAATAAAATTTGTTGTGTCCTTTTCTAGCGCATATTTCTCGCATCTCGTTTTCACCTTTCATTCGTGTTCTGTTCATCACCCCTTGCACTTTTCTGTTGCCCTCCTCCTAATACTGCTGTCTCAACCCAGCATGGGCTGCATGGCCTATCACCATAGTAACAGACAGCCATGACAGGTGGAGATAGCAGGTAGTGCGGCGATGCATGACTCCCCCTGGGACTGCAGAATGCCAGCACTATAGAATGACAATGAGCAGAACATGTTCCATTATACAAAGTCACCAAGTGTTCAGGATTTACATTCACATCAAAGGTTTTTCTTGAAATTGATTCAAGCTTTTTTTTTTCCCCATCTCCATTCTAGACAAGCTGCAAAGCCACCTCCATTGTTTCACTGCTTAGCTGGACAGTGACAATAGTGCATTTCAATAGAATTCAGCACGATGTGTGTTTCAGTTCCATCAATTTCTATAGCCCGGTGAGAAACGTGTCAAAGTGAACCAGTCTGCTTTATGTCAGCAAGAGACTGGGTTCAACACTAATAAGATTTCCTGAATATTGTTTTCCAGGTTGCGGCAAAACTATTCTCTTACTGTTGGCCATTGATTTAATTCAGACTGTAGTTGGGAGGATGATTAAATGCTGACCTTGCACTGAACTAAAGCTCGGCAGAAAAGAAATCTAACTGCACTGCTGGCAAAAAGTCTTTGTGCGTTCAAACATTGCAAGAAAAGAATGCACAACAGTGCATCAGTCACATCAGTCTCCAGCATGCGCACATCTAATGATCAGCAGCACATGGTCTGGAACAACTACTTTACCACGATATTTGAACAAGGTAAACATTATTTATGAGGCTGGAATTATGGACCTCGCTTTTAGGTTGAGACGTATATTCTGCAATTTGCAAGAATGTTAGACCAGCAAAATAAATTCAAATGTCAGTTGATGGCTTACCTTTTGCTTTAGTGACCCTGTGGGCATTTGCCAATAAGGTAAAGTGATAAGAGCAAAAAAGCATAGAAATAATTTAAATAGAAGAGGTGTAATAGTCTCTTAGAGCCTTATGGGACTTACCATGAGCAAACACACAGCTGATTCAGGCATGAGTTGGACAGCCATTATCGGATCCTCCTATAGATTTATGTGAAAAGGGAACGTCGGTCACCAATCTCTTCCTTGTCCTCTTCACTCTTTCTGTTCTGAGAATGTTCACTCAGGAAGAAAGCTCACCTCGGTCCAGGTGAAGCTCTGCAGACTTCTGACCGGTCCTCCCACTCTGTGTCCTTATAATCACTCCCTCCTGTTTCTCATTCAGCGCTGTACACTGTCTTTGAGCTCCAATTGTAATTCCACACTCTCTGGAGACCCAGTGAATCCCCCTCTCTGTGTCTCTTCAGAGTGAATGAAAATCAATGGTTCCTTTTCCAGTTTTTGATGTGAGAGCGTAGACCTCCCCCCCCCCTTCACTCACACCTTTTACTTTTAAAACACTCCCTGCGGACCCCAAACCCCCCTCCCCTTAAACCCCGTGACTCTGGTGCCTCTTGCTAAATACTGCCCTCCCTCTGATGCTGCCTTCTGCCTCTCTTTTTCACAGTGCAATCTCTACAACACAAAGCGCATCTAGGCATGCACGTGGTCCTTCAGTCTACCTGCTTTCTTTGAGGATGTCCTTTCACTCTTCCAGAGGATGGAACTTGGCTGCATCAGTGATGCTTTCCAATGTAAAGCTCTCTCCCACTGTGGTGAAAAGGAAGACATTCACCTCAGTACTCCACTCAGGAATCCAGCGCAGAAAGCTCCTTTTTTTACTCTGCTTTCCCATGTATCATCAGCATGAAACGCCGGCAAAGCGGGAGGCAAATAAAGGAGAATGTTATGGACCATTTCAGAAGGGAAAATGATGGGGAGAAAGATGTGGCGCTAGGAGCAGCCACTGGTGAGAGAGGTTCACACTGAGCGTAAATGAGGGTGGGTGGAAAAGAGGGAGGGGAGATAGGAATGGAAATGTAGAGAGCAAGAGCAGACCGCGCCTATTGATGCCAGCGGCGAGTCATAATCAGAGTGAATGAATACTCTGTGTATCATTTAATTAAAAGAATTTACATGTGCAATCATACAGTATTTTGAGGCAATTACATTTGTTCAACCTATAAATATTTGTGTATTTTTAAATAGTGGATTTTTTAATTCATATATCTGCCACCAGAAATAAAATTTAAATGAAATCTGCCATCAGATCTTTGTCATTTCTGGAGAGGAGAGCCACTGTAACCAAAGAGGTGTTGAGTATAATTAAGTGCAATGACATATGAGCGGCACTTTTTGATATGCATTTAGTTTCGCTCCTCAATAAAAAAATATTTATCTTTAGCTAAATTTACACACAAAATGTGATGGAAGCAGTCCTCAGTTGATTGGAAAAATGACAACATTTACTTAGTTAGTTTGGAGTAAAACAGTTTTTGCCCTCAAATACACTGTTTTTACACTTCAGTGCAGTTACTGTCAAAAGCACTGGAAGTTGTATTTGTAGACTTGAAAAACCTGCCTGAACACCTGCAACATTATGCTCCTCACGGCGTCCAGTTTTCAGGAGCCGCAAGACAGTTTCATTTTCGTTTTCATTTTTGTGAGCAAAAACAAAGAAATAGAAGAACCATGACAAACACACTGTAAGCAAGGGTGCCTGGCGGGACTGCATACCTCGCTTTCCTAGCTTACATAAACACATTTCCATTATTATAACACAATCTTTACTTTAACTGTAACTTTACTATTATTTTATTAACTTTGCATGTGTTTGATTCTGCTCATTGGTAACTTGTTTATCCTATGATTTACTTCCATAGTATGAAAAGAAAAAAAAACAAATGATAGAAGCGCCTTTCCAACTGTTAACTGGAATGTGGCTCTGTCTAATTCTCTGAATACTGTGACACTGTTTTTTTCCTCTATTAGGACCTCCTACCACTCAGACAACACGTTTCCTTAAGGGGTGGGGTCTCTGTCACTCCAGGAAACTGTGTCAAAATATATTTCTCTGCACTACAAATCCAGAAGTCAGAGGCTAGAGAGTTCCAGTTTATGTTGCTACGGACTTCAAGATTATTCAGAAGTAACTTTTGCTGTATGATTCTGTTTCTTTAAGCTCAACATTCATTTGAAAGTTTTATCTACTGTTCCAATCTCAAGCTGTTTGCCAGTACAGCTTTACGCAGCTGAAGAGCAGAGACAGGAAACTCGACTCCTTTGCTCTGCTCTCTCCTGAGCAATAGTTTGAAGCCTTCTTTGGAGAAACACAGTGAGTGAAAGCCTGCTCTGTCACAATGTAATTACACAGTCACCGACAGTGTCTGTAGAAAAATGCGTTTCACTAACTTTTTGCTGCTTTCAGACCATTGTGAAAAGTTAAGGGAAATATATGAGCAGTGATTAAGCTACCTTACTGATGTTTAAAAGATCTCTCTATTCTTCAGTTTCAAGAGATTTTCAAGTTGCAAGCTGTGTGCCTGAAACACAGCAGAAGATGTCAGTGCTGAGCCGTGAACCGATTGGAGATGACCTCTTGGATAGCAAATGGACCAGTATTGGCGAAGGAGGATTTGGTGAAGTCTACAAAACCAGGCACAAAAAACTGGGCTTTGATGTGGCCGTTAAGCTGCTTCGTCAGAGGTACTTTTTTGACGTAGTTTTTCTTGACACAGTTGAACTTTGACACTACTTAACAGCTTGCCGTCTCATTTCAGCCCCGTTTATGAGGAGGCTGAAATAATGGAAAAGGCTTCCTCTCCCTTTGTGCTGAGGGTTTATGGTATTTACCACGGACGTCCACGGATGCTGGATGGAGGAACGACACATGGAATAGTCATGGAGTTTATGGAGAGAGGGTGTATTGGGAGTCTGCAGACTGCTTTACGTAAAGCTGAAAGACACATCCCATGGCCACTAGCATTCCGTCTAGCCCATGAAGTAGCTCTGGGAATGAACTTCCTTCACTCAAAAGGCCTATTACACCAGGACCTAAAGCCAAACAATGTATTGCTGAATGATGTCCTAAAAGCAAAGGTGAACAGCCTTAGAATTATTCAGGTTTATAATAAACATAGAAAAATTGTATTTTATATTCTATTTTCCCTTTGTATTTTGTAGCTGGGAGACTTTGGTCTATGCAGGACTTCAGCTACTCATGTGGGTAGTCAACCTGGAACTGGAGAGACTGGAGGCACCCTTAGATACATGCCACCCGAGTCTTTTGAATTGTCATATAAACCTGTTCGGAACTTTGATGTGTACAGGTAAGCTGTACAGGTAAGCTCTCAATATTATGAATATATCAAATTAAAGACCTTCTTTTTTCCTTTTAGTTATGGTGTTCTTCTTTGGTCTATCTTCATGGGTCAGGAACCTTTTCCAGGTACAATAACTTTGGTTTTATTAACATTTGACAAAATCTGATAAATTTACAATCTGTTCTTTTATTTTTTTTCATTTTTTACATGGTTTATGCTGTTTCTTACATCCACATGCATACATTCTTCACTGTGGTTTTGCTTGCTTCCTCTTCAACATAAGACGCCAATGTCTGTGCTCTGACGATTCACATTAAGAAGGGGACGAGACCCAAATGTGAAGACCTTTACAGCAAACCTGTACAGGGGTTGAGGGAGTTAACTGACCTTATGAAGAAGTGCTGGGATGGAGAGCCGTCTAACAGGCCAGCTTTTAGTGGTACGTCTACATGTTTTTCATAGTAAATATATATATAGTGTGCTTTTGGCACCATTTCATACCATTTACTGCATGACATCAAATTACTTAAATAATCCTCCATTAGTACTTTTAATATCTGTAAGATGTCATTTTTATGGCCAGTTGTGTCTCAAATTAACGTGATTCCAAAAGCACAATTCCAAGGACAAAAAATGCAAAAAAATGGAATGCAAAAAATCCTTCTAATTAGGAGGGCAATTATGACCAATTATAAATGAAAAATCCCTTATTTGAGGACGACAAAGTATCAAAATAACATATGGAAAGTTTATGGAGAAAAATGAAGCGAAATAACAAGGGACAAGACCAACTTTCCAAAGGGAAACAAAAACTGTATGTACACTTGTACTCAATGGAATGGGGATAGTGTGGAAACAGTTAGGGCAGGACAGACAATAACAACAATGGAAAAGACACAGGAGGAAGGGGCAAGTTAACAGAAACAAGAGGAGGGTTAAGTGGCAAGTAAAAAACGGAAAACTAAACCATAAGTGACTTTTTAGACATGACAATTATTCAGTAATGCACCCTGATTGCTCCATGGCAATGCTGTCTGAAGTAAAGCCTGTTTTTGTTTCAGAGATCATCGAGGAAACAGAGAGTGTGTTCTTAATGCACAAGCAGAAGATCCATGAAGCTGTCAATGATGTTGTGAAAATACTGGTACAAAGTCTTTTTTTTGGATAAAAGGAAAGTTAGGACTGATAAGTCCTGTTTTGATGTTGTTATTTAATACATAACTGTTCCTGTTTCAGGACTCATCAGACAGTGATCAACAATCTGAGCCAAGTGTGGCACAAAGTTTGACTCCAGCATCAGGTAGATGGTTAATTGCTTTTGTGTTTGTTGAGTTGGTTCCTACTTAATCTATATTATTCACAAGAAACCTTGTGCACGTATTATCTTGTCTTTTTCAGAAAAGCCAGTGTTTAACGATGTAGTCGATCATCCTGCGCACCAACACCAGGTATTCTTTACACACCTGAAAACCAAGTATAATCAAGAAAAATACAACATTTTTTAAATGTTCAAATCTCTCAGGTCATTAGACAAACAATTGGAAAATTAAACACAATCACTAATTTTGTATCTTACTACAACTTGTTAGGTTACCAAAAAACATAAAAAAACAAGTCACATGTGTTTTCACATCCTTCAATTGTACTAGCTTGTTTTTTTATTCATTTATATGCATTTGATTTGTATCACAAGCCAAACTGTAATATGCAATTTGACAAAACATGGAGTGCTGCTTATTTAAAATACTGCTCCAAACAAAGTGATCCTTTACTTATTGTCCATTGAATGAACAGATTTTCAAAACAGATGTTTCACATTGTCAAACAGCAGCTCTTTAGGAAGCTTGAAATGACTCATTTCAAATGAATTCCCAACATCCTTTGAAATCTTTCCTTACCACACAGAAAGGAATAAAAGATTAGGTTTTTCTCTACACGCATATATTTATATATATTTGTATTTATTTTTCATTGATTCCTTTTTCTCCCTGCTAACAGATTCCTGATATCGTTGAAAAAGAAAAGACCGTGAAAGAGAAAGGTACGTGTTTTCCGTTTTTTTATAATGAGAAAAATACATTTATATTTTTTATTTCTGCGTACATCAAGCAAATTTTTCATTTGTATTGATTTCTATTCTTCTTCTTATAAAAACAGCCAAGTTTATAGATGACAATTTTGCATATTTAGTGCAAAACATCTCCGAAGTAATGCCAATAGTAGATGAATTAAAGCCAAGTATCCACCAAGAAGCCTACTCGAGGATACTACATAAAGATACAAGCTGCCGCAAAGTAAGAGAACTCTATGAGGGGCCATTGAGAGCAGGTGGAAAAAAGCTCAAAGCGGCCTTCTATGATGCCATTGTAAAACACCAGCCCGCGACGATAGAGGACCTAGGTACAATTTTCTCATTGTAGGTCACACAAGCTTTCAGCCTTGAGTCTTTCTTCAGCTTCTTAATTTTGCTTCCTTTCACCTCAGATGATTAACTCCAAACAAATGCTGTGGCCACCCTTCATTCACGGAAAAAGAGTAAGACATTTTCTGGGGTTTTAATTTTTTAAGCACAATGAACCAACTAAAAAGTCAGTTTTTAACTTTTTCTGTCTTTATTCTTGTCTGTTAAAAAATTGTTAAGTTCAGTTGTTGAAGTTTGTACCGCTTCCAAATGATTCACAGGGACTTCTTTCCATGGTGGGGCACCCACAGTCTTCACAAGAGCTGGGAATTCAGAGAGGCAGCATTAGGTCGGTTTACAGCCACATGCATGGATTACGTTACTAACATGCTAAAATGCCTTAGTTTGTTAACCACCGATACTGGTAGACATCCGCAGATATCCTCATTTCATGCAACAATGATCTTTTGTATAGCATAAAGAAGCTTTTATTAAATGTTATTAACTGTTGTGGGAATTCAATGTTATTCAAAAATGTAAATAGTCAAAGATGAAAAAAAATAATATATACTGTATATACACATATATCTATATTTTAGATTATTTTGTTGTATGGGCATGTATGACAGTCCCATTTCTATTTTAACACTGTAGTTAAGCAGCAATGTTTAAGAATTTTGAGCTTTGTAAAAAAGAATATATAAGTGCTCTTGTTGAATTGTTTTTATGCTGTGGCAATGTTAAATGTTAGTTTTTCTTTACATTAGTTTTTTTTTTTCATTTAAATAAATGCTTGGATTATATACATATAAAAATGTGAAAATGTTGAAGGATTTTCTAATAAATGTATTCATTTTTTGGACTGCCATTGTTGTTTAAGTGATTAATGATTTGAGTGGGAGGGAGGGGTCATTGTTCGTTTGCTCCAGGGGTTGAAAAACAAGGAGACGAGAGAGAGAGAGACACAGAGACTGTATAAGAGGCTTTTCTGGTGCAATCCCTCTGTAACTGTCACAAGCAGTCAGTCAGTCACCTGGAGATGATGGCATTGCTGGAAGCAGAGTAACTGTTGGCCTGTTAGATAATACCACCACCCTGAATCATACCTAGTGAAAAATGGTACTGGTGAAAGAAAAGACCTAAAAAGTATATTGTCCTGATGCTTTTGAATGCACCAACAGGTTTTGCCAAACTGAGGAAAAAAAACGTTTGCAGACTACTCCATTACAAACCTGTGACAGAAAGCGCTGAGCATGTGGGTTAAATTACAAATATCTGCTAAGTACAGTGAGTGAATGTATGTCCCCACCTGAGCACACCTTTGTAAATTTGAAGGTTTGACCTCTGTCATTCACAGCTTTTTTTTCACGAGTGCTGCCAGAGCACACACCTTGCTGTGTTCAAGTGTCATCTTGACCCATCCTTCTTCCTCGGCCCTACTTTCTCACTCCACCCAACACACCCACCTCACCCCACCCCATCCTGTTTTAATGCTCCCAATCCTCTTTGTGGGAGAGTGACGTCTGCTACTGTCAGGAACGGAGTTAAGCTCAGCAGGCACCAGGAGAACAGAGAGGAGAGAAGCTCCCTGCCTTAGGGACAGCCAAGTTGGACTGGCCTTCCTCTGGGACGAATATACCGTATGCTACCCACACTAGACCTGCTGCTCCTTCCTCCAGCTGGGGACCACACGAGGAACACTTGATTGGGTGTAACACGATACTTACCCTCAGTTAAAAACTCTCTCCCCTTGCTTGAGAGCCTTGATTGCTTTCAGGGATAATTGCTCTCAAAACTGGAACACAAAGTCACCTGCGGGGGAAAACAACATTCACGTAAGGATTTTTTGTGGCTACGGCATCATCACTTTGTTTCCTTAAAGATATTTCTTGCCTGAGACCATAACCCTGTCAACATCATATTGGTTTGACTTTACCTTTCTGCTCTGAGAGCAAAAAAGCTGCGTGGAACGCTTTCTTCAAGTCTTGATGGTGTGAACATGCACACAAATCATTTTGGGTTCACGAGTGTTTGAAACGGAACAGCTAATTGAGTGTGTGTCGGGCTCTGCTGGACCACAGTTTACTTGTGGTGTGCGTTTTTGGTTGTATTCGTCTGAATGAAACAAGTCAGAGGCAGTTGAAAAGTGTGCATCACGTGAGAAAGGGCTGTGGAAATACCCTTCCTGGATTTACCAGCGATGGAAAGTTATGACGAATTTGGAGAGGGGGAGAGGGACAGTTACCAGATCGACTACCGAAGGATTGTGGGAGACATGGAGCCAGCTTGGCCTCGCAACTCAAATAGAGACGTGGCCTATACCCAGCCAATGTCGCATGGACACGGTCATGAGACTGCAGCCCAGCGATACAGCGCCAGCCGCATCCAAGCTGGGTATGAAAGGTCAGTTTCCACATCGTTCCATCACATTCTCCAAAAATATAACTGATAACACTGCAGTCACAGCTGAGATGTTTACACTTTCTAGTAGCAATGGCTGGCCATTTGCAACCTGGGCAGCAATCCAAATCCTCTTAGCTACTGTACTGCCGTCACAGGTGTATAAAAGGAGTTTCCATTGAGAAGGACGCTCTCCTTTTGTCAGCGATTCTCATCCAGTCTCCCGATCTGACAACAACACAAGTAGATTAGAGGTCAAGAAGGAGATAAAAATATGCTGTTTATCCACATGTATAGTGGTTAAAAAAACTACAAGAAGTTGTTTGCAAAAATAGTCTCAACACTGAAATTCTACAAGTTAAAAGTACACATTTATATAATCACCACTTTGTGGAAAATAAAATTGTCTTGGGAATTGAAGCTTTGTCTCTCATTGGCATTACAATTGAATCATATTTGATGTGTCCATGGATGTATTTTCTTATCACAGCATGGCTGACTACTTGATCAGTGGTGGAACAGGTTACGTCCCTGAAGATGGACTAACAGCACAGCAACTTTTTGCAATTGGTGATGGACTCACGTACAAGTAAGAGCTTTATATAAAAAACGCTGGTACATGTTTATGATCCTGCTAACAGATGGATGCATGAAAAGGATGCATGAACATCCTCAGAAGCTAACACTTTAATGCAGTGTCTTCCATAAAATGTCTATTAATAACAGGAATGACACATCTGCTCGGGTTCCATATTAAGGGATTATCGTGAGAGGTTCTACTTTCAAGGATTCAGAGTAGTGCCACAGACATTAAAAGCAACGTGTTTCTACGTGTGTCTGTGTGCGCACGTGTGAGTGTGTTAATGGGTGTCAGAGTAGATTCCTTAATGGAGGCCATGTGTGGGGTTTATCTCTGTGCAGAGGATAAATGTGGAACATTTCACTGAATGAAATTGCAAAGGGATAATTTCACCTCTCAGTCAGCTTTAACAAGCTGTCTTTAAAAGAAAATGAGCAATGTTTTTGCGTTTAGAAAAGTTTATGTAAATCTAGAAATATTTACTGCAATTTACATTTGATAAAACTTCAATAGGTAGATTATGGTGATGCAATATTTGATAAATTGTTATTTAAGTGCTGATATTTTAGAGTTTATTATAAAATTCAACATTCAATTCTTAAAAATGGTTATTTATTCATATGTGTTACTTGTGCTATATGAGGATTACTATGTTATTTTTCTTGAATAGCCATTAGCCTGGCCTGAACCACTTCATTAACTGATTTGTTTTTAAAAGTTAAAGAGTAAAGAATTCATTGTGGCTTTATTTGTACACCACTGGTACCATGTTCCCTTTTCCAAAAACAAAACTCACTCCATGTTGGTTGTTTGGTTCTTATTTTAATAGCTCTAATCAATTTAACACGTACAATACTTTCCCGTTCTGAGGAATATTTGAGTCTATGATGTTACTTTTTTCCCCTCTGTGCTTTCAGTGACTTCTTAATCCTTCCGGGGTTCATAGATTTCACTGCTGATGAGGTGGTGAGTAAAACTACACTGTACGGTGTTTAGCCTGACATGGAAATGCTATGCGAAACATGACAGGGGTTGTCTAAAGTGGTCCCAGAGGTTGAGCAACGCAAACTCATTTGAATCCCTATTATCTCTTCAAAACTATGATATAGGTTTATTTGGAGTCTGGAAGAGACAGTAAATCTACAATGCCATCTTCATAATTTTTTTTCTCTTATCCCAGTTCACAGACCATAAAACCTATTCAAAGACAGACCTTTTTTCTGCTATGACATTGCTCTCTGCTGTTACCGCACTTTAGCCAGTCCTACTCTTTGCTGAGCGTAATAATCATGCATGAGCACAGAGCTGTTTATTTGCCTTGCGTTGTTATTGAGCTCTGCAGGGACGTTAAATTAATTTCATGCCAGGGTCACATGGGCGGTTGCTGGATAGCAGGTGTTCAAAACAAACATGCCTGTGTCATTTCACTTGTCCAGCAGGTAATCTCTTAGCAATTTTGTCTCTAATTTATTAATAGAGGATTTTTGGCAAATTACATGACAACAAAAAAAAAAAGAAATTCAATGCATTTTTACTTAAGAAACAAATATGCTGCTTCAGCAAAGCAGCTGCAACCTTCCAGGACTCCTGTTGGTAGGGAAGCAGCACTACGTAGCTCTTTTTTATCCAATATACTTAATCAGAATCAGAATCAGAATCACTCCTCTTCTTTTGACAAATATGTTTCTGAATGTGTTCCATTTGAAAGGATCTGACTTCTGCACTAACAAGGAAGATCACCTTAAAGACACCTCTCATTTCATCTCCCATGGATACAGTCACGGAGTCATCCATGGCCATTGCCATGGCAGTGAGTACAAACGCTTAATCATTTAAATATTCTCAATAAATTTGAAAAGAAAAACTCAATGTTGTTTAATATGGGATATTCTTTCCTTTTTGTTGCTTGACTTCAATCTTGATTGGTTTCAGCTGATGGGTGGGATTGGAATAATTCACCATAATTGCAGTGCAGAGTTTCAGGCAAATGAGGTGCGCAAAGTCAAGGTAAGACACAAAACTCAACACAAACATGCGTTAATAGTATACAAATAAAATAATCTGCGACACCAGTGCTGGTCTGGTCTTTCTCCCATCAACGCTTGTGTTTTCTGTTATTTTGGGCAGAAATTTGAGCAGGGCTTCATCACAGACCCTGTGGTAATGAGTCCTCATCACACAATCGGAGATGTGTTTGAGGCAAAGATACGCCATGGTTTCTCTGGGATCCCAGTTACAGAGACAGGGAAGATGGGAAGCAAGCTAGTCGGCATAGTAACCTCCAGAGACATAGATTTTTTGTCTGAGAAGGACCACGACAGGCCTTTGGAAGAGGTGGGTGCAAAGCTGTTAATGTTGGGGTGAGTGTTTTATTAATGAGAAAATGCCAGAGTTATTATGCCACTTACACACTGATCACTTTCTATCTAGGCGATGACAAGAAGAGAGGACCTTGTAGTTGCGCCAGCTGGAGTCACACTAAAAGAGGCTAATGATATATTGCAGCGAAGCAAAAAAGGTAAATGTTTTGCAAAAATATTAACCTAAGAGGGAAGGAATTTTATCTTTGATTTCATCTTAAACTCTTCACAATCTGACTCTTGTAGGTAAGCTCCCCATTGTTAATGACAATGATGAGCTGGTTGCCATTATTGCTAGAACTGACCTAAAGAAGAACAGAGACTATCCTCTGGCTTCCAAGGACTCACGCAAACAGTTGCTCTGTGGGGCCGCCATTGGCACCAGGGAGGATGACAAATACAGACTGGACCTCCTGGTGCAGGCTGGGGTGGATGTGGTGGTCCTGGTGAGCTTTGAACACTATATTTGATATTTTGGTTAGTTGATGATCAGCCAAACATAAAGTTTCTCTCTAACAGTCATGCTGTGATGATTACGTTTTTATTTAAAATAAAAATAAATGATCACTTTCTTTTAAATAAAAAAAAAAAACTTTTTCATTTAGTCAAGTAATTTTTTAACCCTTCCACCACATACTAGTGGGAGAGTTTCAAATGAACAACCTCTGTTCCTGTTCAAACCATCTTTGTATATGAAACAGTTCAGTTTTCAAACCACGTTTTGAACCTGTTGCTCTTTTTAATTGCATTGTGAAAGTTGTTTTCTGATGTCAATAGATGCATAGAATACATGATTTATTTCTTTATTACAGGACTCTTCCCAAGGAAACTCAGTGTATCAAATCAACATGATAAATTACATCAAACAGAAATATTCTGATCTTCAAGTGGTTGGTGGCAATGGTTTGAAAATCTTCTTTTCTATGCCCTCTTTTCTACATTGCCTTGATAAAGCTCCTGTGTCAAAGCTCTTCTTTTCACTGTATTTCTCTGTGTTGATCTGTCTCTCTCTAGTGGTGACAGCTGCACAGGCTAAAAACCTAATAGATGCTGGTGTGGATGCCCTGAGGGTTGGAATGGGGTGTGGCTCTATCTGTATCACCCAGGAAGGTACATTAATAACACTGATTTTTTTCTGGTTGAAATCAGTTAAATAACCTCTTTAAGAGGTTCTTCAGAAAATGAGTTTTAGTTATAAAACATAGCCCCGGTTACTTGATGTTTCATTCTCTGTTGTATTTGAGATATTCATTGCTGACACCCTGCCATGTTCTCGATTTTCAGTAATGGCATGTGGCAGGCCACAAGGTACATCTGTTTATAAGGTTGCAGAGTATGCCAGACGTTTTGGAGTCCCTGTTATTGCAGATGGAGGTATTCAAACAGTTGGACATGTGGTTAAGGCTCTCGCGCTGGGAGCGTCCACAGGTAGGGGAAAGTAGAGGGAGTATTACAACAGTTGCCAGTTACTTTTGAGAACATTTAGCACACTGATTTTTTAACCATTCTAACAAGTTGTTTCTTTTAATACACACTCAACTTTTTACAGACAATCATTTGTGTGATTTAAATATATGTGTGACCTTGCACCACCCTTCTTGTCCAATCATTTTTCCTACCAAGTGATGATGGGGTCTCTGCTTGCTGCAACCACCGAGGCTCCAGGTGAATATTTCTTTTCTGATGGAGTGCGCCTGAAGAAATACAGAGGAATGGGCTCCCTGGATGCTATGGAGAAAAATAACAGTCAAAAACGATACTTTAGGTATGTAGTGTATAATACTTAAGTATTAGGTAGGATTTAGTTTTTTTTTACAGACTTTTTTTTTTTAGAACAGCTTCTGTAATACCTAACTTCTCTCTCTTGATTTATTGTTTCTGTGTGTGAAGTGAGGGAGATAAGGTGAAGGTGGCTCAGGGGGTCTCAGGATCAGTGCAAGATAAAGGCTCCATTCAGAAGTTTGTTCCCTACCTTATTGCTGGTATACAGCACGGCTGCCAGGACATAGGGGCCAAAAGTTTGTCTATTTTACGGTAGGTGTAAAAACGCATTTGTGTTTTTAATCTTTTTGTTGTTTGTGGACTTCTGTAAAGTGCCATTGTGTGTATTTGGTTTCAGGTCGATGATGTATTCAGGAGAGTTAAAGTTTGAGAAGCGGACCATGTCTGCTCAGATGGAAGGGGGAGTTCATGGCCTCCACTCGTAAGTCTGAATTTTTATTTCTTTCTGGTCTGTAAAACGTCTCTTCATCCATGTGTCTCTTTTTTATTTTCCTTTTTGGCCTTTTTCATATATTTATTGGCATTGGTAATCAAATAAAACCTCACATCTTGTACCTGCGTAGAACAGCATACAAACCATCCTCTGTCTTTTTCTTTTCTTACTCATGCTCTCATGTTAGATATTCTTTTGTGCCATGTAAGTACATGCATACCATTGTATTATTTCCATGTTCAACTTACCTTTATGCATCTACATTTAAGGTGATTACATGGAGGTGTGAAATGCCGGTTTTGTTTTCTATTTCCTTTCCAAACATAGTTACAAGAGGTGGCCTTAACGAGTCAGGAGGAAGAGGAAATACACGCTCAGTACCAAATGTTCCAGCTCCTGCTGCTATGACCAGATGCAATGGACGCATGTGATCAAACTACTGAACACAAAGCTGATTTTGCATTATTTACTCTTAGAATTGAACTCTCTAGTTAAATATCTTAAAAAGAGATATGCAACAAAAGACAAAGTATGAATGCCCCAAACAAGTTGAATGTTTTCATATATAACTTTAAATTGCTGACAGCAAATGGGATGAGTTAAATGTTGGAAAAATCTATGGAAAAAAAAAAGAGCTTTCAACTAACTGCAAATCTGCAGTGATGATTTTAACCTATTCTTAAGCTACAGTGAACTAAGAGGGTTCAGTGCAAAAGCATGAGAGAGCTTCGTCAACCAATAGGCACTGAAGAGTAGACCCATGCTTGCCAAAAACATTTATAGAGCTACAGTTTTTCTGAATCATTTTCTTAAGAGGGAAAAATTGACTTACAATTTAATTGAAAAACAACAACAAAAAAAGGCAAAGACAGTTTTGGGCTAAAGGTTCCAAATCTTTCAGCATTACAACATTTATTAGAATAATGCTGGATCTTTTGTCAGAAATGGTTGATTTTCAAGCCAAGAAAAAAAATTCAAATGGTAATAAAAATGCAAATATAAACATTATGGTACTTTCATTTCCTTTGACTTTTTATTTGAGTACAGACAGTGTGAACACAAATATTTGAAACTTGGTTCATCAGCTTAATTTCATTCTTTAATATGCAACATTTCAGACCTATGAACATCTTTTTAAAAACTTTGAAAAGGATAAATTTAGTTGTGGTCAATAATGGTATATGGTTGTATATTTACAAATGAAATACAGCTGATGAAGGAGAAAAATCACGATCAAACTGCCCTAAAAAAACTTTAAGTCAATGCTGATCTACAAACAACCTCAGTAAAATATGCAGAACAGCAGAAACTACCCAACGACAGATGGACAGAGAAGTTTCTTGATAGAAACAACCAACATTCTCAGGCTATCATTACAGCTAAAGGTTCTGTAATTGACACTTATTGAGTTGCTTTTATCCATTTTTGTCCAATTTTTCTGACTTTATGAATTACTTTAGAAATGTGTTTCCTATTGAATCCTTGCTGAAACTTGTTTAAAAATTGTTTTAGTGTAACCTATATATATATATTTTTTTAGCACATCTCGCTTTTCAAATATTTTAGAACAAGGCAGATGAGAATTTTTTTTTTTTACAAAGGCAGATTCATATGAATGGTATCTGTGCAATAAACTTTACTATATACACTATTTATTTTCTCATTAAAACTTGATGAATCCAGTTTAAATAGTTCAAGTTCTTCCATTAGATAATCTCTTGACAGCAAAAGCACTGTTTAGCAATAGAGGGTTCACTGTTGACATTCATGAGCATCTTTCTGAGACAATCATGACCATGACAATCATCGTTTGAAAAAATATTTTGCTTAAAAAAATTACTGCAAGAAAAATTTAATAAACAAGCAAAAGCACAATACTACATACACTAAAAGAAAGCACCTAACTGTAACTTTAGTCCAAAGACTTGTGATGGGGGTGGTAACATATAAAGATCCCTTGAAGTACCCTTTAAGTTTGCCCATTTAACACTTCGGAGCATATATACACCTTTCGGAGCATCCAAAAGTACTAACGTGTATTTTTGGGTCCAGTTATTAGCCACAAGGGGTACGTAAGAGACTGTGCCTGTATTGTTGAAAGTATGGGGAAGACAGGTGGCAATATTATGTCACTTCCATCGTCTTCCTGGGGGTGTTGAGATATACATAATACAATATCAACATTATTTACAAAGATGTTTGCATCTACACATTAAATCAGTAGTATAATATCCTGTTTTAGTTTGGTTCAGTTTTTTTTGTTTTATTTTATGATGTACAGTTACATTTCTCAATCTACCCTAATGAAAATATGCTAAATTATTTCTGTATAATATAAGATGCTGTCAAAACATAGCTGATGTTTTATTTGTTCCTACAATTCAATGGTATCACTGCAAACACTCAGGGCATCAATTTGTCTGCACACATGGACAAACTCTGCTTGAACAGCAAGATCCCATTCTAGTTGTTTGCTGTCACTCAGTTGCTTAGTGCCCGCCAATCGGCCAGAGCCATGACTGTCTTGGGAGGCAAGGCTCAATGTTCGGTAACGCCTTTGGTAAGACAGGTGTGGGATTCCCCGTGATAGGCTGCTATGAGCAAAGTGCTGCCCTCTGTTGGCCCAAGAATGTGAACGCATCTTTCCCATTTCCTTTGGCTGGCTGCACAAACCCTGGGTTGAACCAGTATGGCTCCCTTTCCAGTCCAATTGCTCTGGTGGCATCGGCGGATTGGAGGGAGAGGTCAAACTGCCTTGTGGTTGGAAAGCTTTGGAGTTGGACAGGGTGTTATCTCGATCTACATTTCCACAAGAAGAAGTTCGGTAAAGGGTATCTACCACAGAGCAGGATATTTGCTTGGATGCACCTTGGGCAGGAGAGTGCAATGAAACAGTTGAAGAAGCATGGTGCAGTCTTGGTAGACCAAAGATACTGTGAGAGAATAGGGATTCACTGAAAAGAGCTTGGTCAATACTGCGGGACAAGTCGATTGGGGATGGGGGCCGTAAGTCCCCAGTAGAATCAGATTCTACACCTAAACTATCTAGTGATGACTGCTGAGGCTTAACTATGTTTTCAGGTTTGCATGGTTCACTTGGGGTTATAGGTAGGGGTAACAAACTCTGTGTTTGGTTGTGATTGGGGACACAATCTAATTCATTTTTAGAGGGATCAACCATTGAGCAAAGAGGAAGAGTTTCAGACTGCCTCTTGGTAACAACATCACAGACAACCAGCTTTTCTTGCTTACTCTGGGAAAAGGACTCATGAGAGGAGAGAACGGGGGAATCTGCTCCATTCTGAGAGGGCAGTGTGAGTTCTCGTAATGGAGAGTTGCAGGATAGACGAGACCAAGATCCTGGCCGTGGATGAGTTATGGTCTTTATCGAGGAGTGTTTGTGACTGAATAAAGGGTGTGTTCCGATGATGGATAAACCTAGACAGACCCCAATTTCACAGAGTCTGCAGCCTACCTGGTAACCCCACCATGGCCAAGCCATAAAACCATAACCATCAACCCCACCAAAACCAAGTGCATGTAGAATCCCATATAGTTGAAGACCCCCACATCCTAACAAGCTCAATGCAGTTCCTATTCCAGTTCTTGCTGCCCTATTCCAGTCTTCTACTTTGGAAAAGGGACAAACTGTTACTCTGATCACTTCAGGGGATCCTTCACTTTCTCCATTGTCATTAAGCCTGTAAACATGTTTTGTGCTTACTTGTGTGAAGATGAAGAATATGAGGTAAGAGCATGAGAGAAATATGGTGAGGCAGACAAACACTACCTGAGGAAGCAGGAGGATCACTATAGGGAGGCTATTGAAGAGGTAGTGGAGTCCAACACATCCTAGTGAGACTACAAAATGCAACAAAGACATGCATAGTAAAATGCAAGGCTTGGGCAGGGCTGAGAATGAGGCAGAAATTGCAAATGAAAGAGAAAGATGCCTGCGTGAGCGCAAGGAAAGAAGGAGGAAAGCCAGTGAAAATCCTGATATCAAACAGGGCAATGGAAGTTCAAACAGCAGAAGCGTGATTAGTGTGGGAAGGCGATCTTGAGAACTGTAAGCATCATATAACAAACAGAATGCTTGGATACCTGTAAATGCCATAATGAAGAAGTGCAACATTGTGAGATAGAGGCTACCAGGGGGACACCTGAGAGGCAAGCCTAACAGGCAAACCATGGAAATGAATCCGAAGAGAGTGAAGACTGATCCCAGGCCATAGATGTGTGCTTCCCATGCAAATCCCCATGTAGCATGAGCAGAGTTCCAGTCTGAGTATAATGGGACCAACAGGGCAGGGCTGAGACCTAGAGGTGGGTGCAAGGACTCACTGGGTGTGAATTCATAAGGGTAGGTGACAGTCCAGGACTGATCGGATGTTTTACAAGGTATGGTTGTTGTATCCTCATTACTGCCAACTGTGACTGTACCGCCGGCCTTTGAAACGTGCAAATTGTCTTTCCTGGGATCATCTGAAAAACAGGAGCATCACATGAAAACACAAAAAAACATATTGTTATTGCTTGTGTTAAAAAAGATTAAGTACAATATTTGCAAACATTTATCAAAAAATAGTGAGGGCACAATAATGCACTTGGATAACAGACATTACTGTCAGATCATCAGCATCATGAGCATGTAAGTACAGGATTCTCAAAACTTTCTGGTGCTCAGAAATAAAGCCGCACAGTGCACTTTTGTTTTAGCTGGTTTATTCCTATTGTTAATTACTAACCTGAAAAGTTACAAAAAGAAATTACGCTTGCAATGAACATAGCAGTGCATGTAAAGTAGGCCTGATGCTTTCTACAAAGAGAACATGATGGAGTGTGCTGTGTGGAAGTGTGTAGAGTTAATCTATAATAAAACAGAGCTGGCGTGTAACTAGGAACCCTAAAGTGGGTCACAGAGAGGATGGGTGCAAGAACAACTTGTGTGTTCATGAGAACGTGAGCGAGAGAGAGAGAGAGAGAGAGAGAGAGAGAGAGTGTGATGTGTGCTGATTAGCCAGTACTGACCTAATTGCCATTCTCATTTTACAAGGCAAAAATCAGGATGATAAAGAATTTTTTTGCAGTCTGTGAGAATCTGCAAAGGAACTAAACGAATGGAAGCTCAGCTATGTAAAATTAAGAGACAAAAATGTATAAAACTCATTTGCTACGAAGATATGCTCAGAGTTGGGTGTATGGAGCTACAAATGAGGCAGCGCAGGCCAGCTGGCTATAAATGGTATTTGTCCTATTTCTGAATGTTTATTTGTTGTAAAACTACTGTATCATTATAAAGTCAGGAAACAAGCTGAGACAAAGCTGAGATTTTTACCTAATAAATAAACCATGGTTAGCGTTGCTCTTGTTACACAAAGACTTGCAGATTTGAATCATATTTGGTGTTATTACTCCACAAACTAGCTGATATGTACAATGTGACCACATAAGGAAGAAGAGGAGGAGCCATTTGTAACCCAATTATTTCCATGTGCACCCATCCTGTGATTGTGGACACAACATTACTTTCACAACTGAGTGCTACTGTCAGTGTGTTCAGTAAATACTTTGCATGTGGGCAACACATCAATCTATTACCTCTGAAGGTGGGTGACAACAACTTGAATGTGGGGAGTGACACATTCGATCTTGAATGAATTTGAAAGGCAGGAAGTTAGCTATTTAGAGAAAGAATTTTAAGGAGGGAAATTAACTAGAAAGTGCGGCAATACAAATGATTGGCAGCAAATGGGCAGCAAATCATACATCTTTTAAGGCAGTGGGGTGCATTTCACAAAAGCTTCAACTCATGGAAATTCCACAAAGGTCAAGTGCGAACTGCGACTGTTGTCAAATAATGCATGCTTTAAATGTATTGAGAATAACTCAAAGAGAGGAATCTTACCACTGGATGCCTCTGTGCTGGCCGTTCCTGTGTGTAAATCATGACCTGCAATGTCAATCAGTCGATCTTGTTTTCCATGTGTGGACATGGTAATCCCTGTTGTTCTTCCCCAGTTGCTCTGGCTTGCTGTGGGAGTTGGGTGCTGAGGATTAGCTCCAAGTCCTGCCAAAAGCGTTGAAATCCACCCTTTCCCAGGTTTGTGTGTTGTTGCTAATGTTGGTTTGCTCTCTCGGGTTTGTGTAGGGTAAACTATGGTTACAGAACTCTTCTCAGTTGACTGATAATTAAATGTTTTCTCCTGGACAGATTGTTGAAGTTTACTTCCTAATGAAGGCCATTTTGTTTGCATACTCTCCTTTAAGACTGAATCCTCTGTCACAGTCTCATGGTGTCTGGATGGAAGTGCCTTCATATTAGGGTGTAAAAGAAAGCTCTCCTGCCAATCACTGTATTCACCGATCACTCCTTGTCTGTCTGTGTCCTCTGATGATGAAATGGGCCATATCCAAGACTGACTCGTGAAGTCAACATCCTCAGGTCCAAACATGGTACTTGCTGGTTGTAAACCAGATCCTTGAGGTTTATGTGAGGGCTGTCTGAGAAACTGTGGAACTCTGTCAGTTTCTACCTGTTGGGTTTCTTTTGCATTTTCTCCAATTAAAAATTCAAAATGCAATAAGAGGGGTAAAGAGAGATGGAGGAGATTATGAATATTCCACAACACGACCATGGTGTGGTGTCTTGATTTCCACTTGGGGTTGTTGTCTGGTCACATCTTTGATAGTTCTCAGATATCAGACTACCAAAAATGTCACTGGTGACATATCTGCAGAAGATTAACAATGTGTTGCATGAGAAACAATCAGTACCAAGACTCGTCAGATAATGCATATCATTTAGGTATCTGCACTAAAAAGATTTTACTCCAGCACATGGGGTGCATATTAAAATGCTAACGCTGTGGGAATTACAAACAGATGAGAAATTATAGTTAACAGTATTCAACCCTGAAAGGTCCTTGTCATTACAAGATTGAAATACAGAATTCTAAAAATATAGCAGAGCATGGAACTGCATGACTGTTCCGTTTGTAGCATGCTTTCTTACCTCATCAATAGCCTGTCCTGCTGCAGCCTCTTTGAACATATATGCAGCGCTGTGCTGCTGCATGTCTGCAGTCGCGGTATGCACAGCACTCTGTGTCCTTTCATACACACTGCGCTGTGCCCCTCATCTCTCTATCAGACGGTCTGCACATGGGACAGACCCCTCCTCCTTTGAACAACCCCCGCCATCCCACATGCTGTCTGTACACCAACATCTAAAAGTGATACTGTGTTTGGTAGCATCATAAAGAGTATGAAGAAAAGGGAAAAGAATGGGACATGTATAAGTATTTCATAACTAAATATCATCTGCCAACCAACAGACATAACTAACCTGCGTCATAGATCATTACATTATATTACATCGAACATTTATAGTTGTTCGTTAAATCGACACTTAAAGTAGCTTGTAATAGCAAGAGACACATGATTATTCAATCGAATCTATTGTGCTGATAGAGGTAGCTTGTCCCTGAATGTACATAAACATCTTTAAGCAGGCATATATTTTTAATGGAATGAGTTTAATATTTATAACGTATACAAAACTTTAAAGAAACAACAGCAAAAGAATAAGTACAGCAGTCTGTTCAATAGCCACTTGTACAGGGTGACATAGCTTCAAATAAAACAGTACGTGTGGTCACTTGTACATTCCACACATTGGCATCTATTCTCTTTAGTAGGAAAATGTAAAGTATTTGATCACCAGACAGATAAAAGATTTCAGTTCTTAAATTTTACGAACGCTGACTTGTTGGATTTGTTGATCTCAGACAGCTTTACTGTCTTTGAAGAGAATATCTTGTATTCTTACAGAATGTACATGGGAAAATATTGCCCTTGTTTTTTAATATATATATATTTTTTAAGCCTGTATACACATTTTTATAAAACTTATTTTTGATTGTACATATGACTTCATATAAACAATATAATGCTATGTTTCCATTTAACATATTCCATTTGTAACATATGACTGAATTCACTCTAACATTTTTTTTGTTTGTCTTTTTGGCACATCCATACAACATTAATTCCCATAGTCATTTACCCATGATTGAAGCTCTGCGATAGATTGGCAAACTGTCCAGGGTGTACCCAGACTATCAGCTGGGGTAAACTCCAGCCTTCTTGCCAACCCATTGGAGCTAAATGGCATAGAGAATGGATGGATGGATGAAACTTGGGTAATTGTGCAAGAGCTGGAGTGCATCCTGGGCAGGTCACAAGCCTGCCCAGGATGCACAAGACTACACTCAATCCTAGGATCAATTTAGAGACACAAATCATGTGATTAAAGACCACATGCTAGAATATCCAGAGAAAACATGCATACATCAAAATAACATGCAGATATGCAAAAGAATCATCAGGGAGGTTTTGCACAGGGAATATTTTTACTACCATGTGACAATGCTAACTACCACACAACATACAGCATTAAATATGTGTTTTGTGAAAAGTATATATTTCAAAGATTTGTCCACAAAAACAAACCACGATACAAGTCTGAGGTCGACTTTCGAAAGAGGGCAAAAATAAAGAAACATGGACATTTAAAGCTGACATGATGACACAAACTTAAAGACAGAAAAACTACCACCTGACGCCTCATATTAAGGGGCATTCTCATTTAAACAATCAATAGAATTGTCATGCCCCATTTAATGGTTTTGACAATCACACTTGAAGTTAAGCTTGATTGTAAGAATAACTAACATAACAGAGAAAAAGCCCATCTTACCAGAAGGCTTTGTTCATCTGATCTCATTATGTTTAATGCTATCAGACTTGCTCACGTGAGCTGTTTTAACCCAATGGGGGAAATCCAGTAACCTCAAGACCTAATTAAATTCCACGGATACTTCTAAAATAGACTCTGATCCACATACCTTTGGAAGCATCTGGAAACAGTGACTTTGAAGCACAGTCATCCATTGTACTTTTTTTTTTTTGTCTGGCTGAGGAAAAGAATCTCAAAAGTTCTTTTTTATTAACTTGACACCGACCATGATTTTCTCCATCCCAACACCAAAACTAACAGTGAGAGCCAGACACACCAGTCTATTAACTGTTTTCCAAATTTGACCTTTTTTTTAACAGAAAAGCTGACAGGACAAAACATATATAACAATAGGATGTACATCCACATAGGAGCAGTCTGAGAAACAGTGGAAGCAATTTCAGATCATTGAACCATTCAGTCAGTAGAGATAGGGACTTCCACCACAGGGGTGTGATTAACCCAGTGTCTAAAAACATCAGGAAAGCATCAACCCAGCCGTAACTAAAAGGACTGGAGAGGAACAATGACAGGCCAAACATATGAGCTCAGAGAGGGACATGCCCAAATCATTGCCGCTTCGCACTTAATATCTAAATACATTGAGCATCTGGGGTCTGTTTAGACAAATCATCCTCAAACAAGTCAAAGTCAGCAGGATTTGACTTCCAGCTGGGAATTGGGACAGTCAAGAGAAAAAAATAGCACAGGCAAAAAGAAGAGCCATGATGAGCAATGACCTTTTTAAAAAGGGTCAACGTTTTCATAATGTTATGCAAAGTTTTTAACTTTGCATGAGACTATCCCTCTCATGCAAGAGCGATGGCAACTGGATTAATTGTATCCATCAAGTTATTATGTGTCATCAGAGAATTTGAAAAAGCACAACCAAATAAGTTAAGATTAATTGAATAGTTTCTGATGTTCTCATGATGTGCATCTTCATTTTTCAGTCTCGCTAAATAACAATATAACATCCGACACTGATGATTGTACAATAAACGTTCACAGGGGAGATGACAGAATATCCAATGACAGAGTATTCTAGACACCACACATTTGAGATATGTCCTGCTGATCTCTTCTTCCAATATCCTGTTGATAAATTCTGTGTTAACCACACTTAGTTTGGGGGTTTATTTGTTAAAAAACTATGATATACTTAGGATGTGTATTTTAAAGTAAATTTCCTCTGAGAATTTTTGTAGGAAGCCACCTGGTTTCTCATGATTTTAATGTTATTGTAATAATTCTGTAAAGCATTCCCTTAGTTTAAGGGTCTAAGCAATGATCTACTTACCTTACAGTACATTAAATAGTCATTTCCATAAACTAGATCAAACCATGTAGGTTTGAATGACATATAAACCATATGCGCTGTGCATTGCAAAAACACAATAGCATCAACAAGGATAAAGTGATACTACACTGAGAAGAATATCAAACTGTAGATAAAAAAACAGTGCACAATCATTAAGAATACACAGTCTCAACCCAGCAGAGGATAAAAAACACACCAGCCAGCAATGAACTACTCTTTATGAATGTTTACTTATAATGAGGTACCAATAGACAACAGACTGTCAAGAAGTTAGCAGAGTAAGTTATATAGTCAGATTAAATAATGAAAATAATAATAGACATTGAACCTGAAAGTATACACAGATGAGAAACGGATTTTTGTTTTAGATGAAAGTCCAACAATTGTGGAACATTTGTCGATTTTATGTAGAAATCCAAGCATTTTCCTGTTCTTGGCTTCTCCAAACCAGAAAGTGGCGCTAGTGAGCAGCTTTGTTTGGCGGCTGCCAATAAAACACACGAAGAAGAACGGGAGCTACAGAAGTTGTAGTAGCAGAATCAAAAACAGCAAACAGGGTGAAAGTTCGATGAGCCTAAGAGAACTTTTCGGTCCGATTATTTTGGTTACATTTAGCTGTGCCTTGCACTGTTGACAATTATGTGATTGAGCCTACATTTTAAGGCCCCCCACGACCACAAACTGAAAAGCAGGTCAGTTACTTAAGCTGTACTCCACGAAGTTATGTATTCATTGTTTAATTTCAATGAACGCCTTTCTCATGCGTTAACGTTTGTAGAAACAATGTGTGTTTCCTCTTAGAAGTATAACAATAATTAGAAATGGTACGATTGTGTCAAGTGTGGTTGATAAATACAGAAAATAAGTGGCATTATCTCATATTATAAAGCTTCAGCGTTAAGTAGAGAGCCGATATGTTATTTTTCTATCGTTCGTTTGTCTTTTTGGTTTTAATTTTTTTCTATTTTTTTTTTCTTGCAGGCGACCCTGATATTGATTCACTAGGTGACCTGACAGCAGCTTCTGCTCTATGTTGGCCAGGTCAGCCCTGAGCAAGGGCATCACTGCCCGTCGCCTCTGCAAGAATGTCACTCTGTACATGAATGAACTCTATTCTCCAGTCGCAGGGGTTCAGGTCCAGGCCCCTGAGGATCACAAACCCCTTTTACTCATGTTACCCTGGTTGGGTTCGCGTCCCCAAGCTGTGGCCAAGTATTGTGAAATCTACTTTCGCACTGGCTTTGATGTGCTTGTAGTGGAGAGCGAGGTAAGAAAAATCTACTAAATAAACCAGATATGAACCAAGACCACACCTGTAGAATTACATCAGAAAATGTCGGGTCTTATTAGTTGTTTTACTTAAATTGTGCTTCTTTTTTCTCCAAATCGAGTAGTAAGTGTATAACTCCTGTCAAGCTGAGTTATAGCCTGGTTATTTCTTTGTTTTGATAATGTGGTGCTCACGTTGATTTGAGTGTGTGAAAATCTGGTCAAAGAGATCTTTGTTATGAATGTGTGTATCTTGCCTGCCAAATGACTCAGCAAAAAAATAATGGGCATCAAGCTATTTCAGGCATCTAAATTCACATAAGCCCATTAATGTGTGTATAAGATAAGGAGCTGGTTGTTAACCTGATTGGGTTAAGCAAGAGCTCATTATTTGGAACTCCTCCACATCTACGTGACCTGACCTTTTCCATGTAAACACACAGACAACTATGACCTGTATCAAAGTATACGGTGCAAAGGTCACTTTTGTTGCTATGTTGTTTTGGGGCTCATATCCACTGTGCTAGAGCAATTATACGGTACATTTGCCCAAATAAAAAAGACAGGAAAACACAATAATAAAAAACAAAAAGAAATAAACATGTCATAATTTTTCCAGGGGTCAGAACTAAGTTGTATTTTTGCCTTTCTTTTGTTCTTTTGTTGCTGGTTTTATCCAACTAGGTGACAGACTTCCTGTGGCCCCGTTGGGGTCTGGATCGTGCAAAGAAGTTGATGGATTTGCTCCAGAGTGAGCCCTTTATGTCCCGTCCTCTGCTCATTCATGCCTTCTCGATCGGAGGCTACACATATGGTCAGCTGCTGGTTCACATGTCCAAGGACAAACAGAAATACCAGGGAGTGACAAACAGGATCAAAGGCCAAGTTTACGATAGCTTGGTGGTGGGCTCATTGGAGCAGATGGCCAGGGGTGAGTTACTATGACCTACTTTTGGTGCATTATTGCTTTTCAGATATGTTTGTAAGAGCAAATTTTGGTATTTACTCTCTGTTTAGGTCTGGGTAAAACGGTATTTCCTCGTTTGGAGACACTGGTAAAACAGGCAAGCCTCCTATACTTCAGCATATTTAAACGGCAAACAGTGGACTACTTTAACGCAGGCATCGACGTGTTTTGGAACACTCCAGTCCTCGCCCCTGGACTGCTCTTCTTCTGCGAGAACGATGTCATGAGTGACCCACGAACTGTGGAGGAATTGATTGCACACTGGCAGCAGCGGGGGATGAATATTACGGTAAAGAAGTGGGAGGATTCAACACACGCGTGCCATTTAAGGAGGTACCCACAAGAATATATGACCACCCTGAACACATTCCTCCACTCACTCCACATCGCCCCACTCAAGGCCAAGATGTGAGGAGGTTTCAGCCTGACTGCCTTTGTGTTATCTTTGGGTTTGCCACTTTATCATTTTAGTTATTTTTCAAAAACACACTAATCTGAACATTTACCAATAATGTTGTTGAATTTTGTTTTTTGATAGCTGAATGCAGTAAAATACATTAGTTCCCACATTTGTGAAGTTTCAGCCTTGTACTTGTGGTATACATTTCAAAACGTTATTTAATTACATTTGATTACTCTGCTCTACAACAACTACAGTAACTTTGAAAAATTATTAGATCATATTTATATACAAAGAGAGAAATATAAATGGTTGTTAGATTAAAGTAGTGCCTGTAAACATTATATTGGAGTTTCACTGATTTAATATTTGTTTTTTAACATCTAGTTAACATTTCTTTTTCATCCTGATTCAGTGTTGTTAGTCTGTGCCTTGGATTGACTTAAGATTTATATTATATAAAATGTTTACATTAAAACGGTTTGGTCTCCGATTGAGTTAAAAAAAACACAAAAACAATTAGATTTACCCATTTATGACTGTGACCTCTAACAAATAGTTACATGAGCAAACGGTTTGAGAACAGAGGGGTATGGTTGATTTAATGTCTCACTGCTGGGAGATTCTATTTTAAATGTTTTATTTTGAGTATTTTCTCCGTTCCCTACTTCCATACTTTAAGGAGCCACCTCATAATGTTACAAAGCTATTTAATTTGAAAGAATTATTCAATATGGATACATCTTTATTTACTCATGTGTTGTTTGATCTGTTTGTGTTCATTAAACTGCTTGTTAGCAGCTGGCTTATGCCTATCAGTTGTGAATCTGTACTCGTGAACAGCACTGTCTTGAAATACCAAAGCTCATAGAAAAAGTCGTGAAGTTCATCTTAAAAGCTTTCACTGGTACAACTGTTTACAAAGAAATACAATGTGAAACGGAGGGGGATTTTTACATGAAGTAGTGCCGCTGAAGTTATGCTGTCAGGTTATTGCTGACTACTTGAACATTCCTTGCATGAAAAAACGTAATTATATTAAAAATATTGTCTATGTATACTTTGGAAATAAATTTAAAGAAATAAAATTTGGAAATTAAAATGTTATTTTTTTCTTTTTAAGGCAATTTAAGTTAAATGATGTGGTGCGCTTTTCAGCCTTTTGGCGACCCCAGCAGGACCCAAATGAAGCTAATTAAAACGTCATTTTAGCAACTTCTCAATGATGTAAAAAATATTCTGGAATGAAATTGTTTTTTTTAAATGAGAGTTTTCCTGCTATATTGCCTAGAAATAGAACACAATATATTGTAGGAGTAAAGATTCCACTTTTTGAAATTCATTGGGATGTATTTATTGCGGAGGGGCGGCACGGTGGTGTGGTGGTTAGCACTGTCGCCTCCCAGCAAGAGGGTTCTGGGTTCGAATCCCGGGGGAACCAGGGCCCTTCTGGGTGGAGTTTGCATGTTCTCCCTGTGTCTGCGTGGGTTCTCTCCGGGTTCTCCGGCTTCCTCCCACAGTCCAAAAACCTGCATGTTAGGCTGATTGGAGATTGGGGAAATTGCCCTTAGGAGTGAATGTGAGTGTGAGTGGTTGTATGTCCTGTGTATGGCCCTGCGATGGACTGGCGGACTGTCCAGGGTGTACCCTGCCTCTCGCCCGTTGACCACTGGGATAGGCTCCAGTTCCCCCCGCGACCCCATGAGGGAATAAGCGGCATTGATAATGGATGGATGGATGGATGTATTTATTGCCTGGAACCAGTCTGAAGGCAATACAACAGACATCCGGGTCGATAGGTGGCGCCGATAACCAGTCTGTGGTGTAAAAAAAAAAAAAGCAGAGGAAAAAGCAGCTCCTGACAACTTCCGCTCACCAGGGAAGATGGCGGCCATCACATGTAAACATGCGACCTAATCTTGTGCAACGACGCGCTCAACAGAAAGGTGTCCATAGCTTTTATTTTTGTTTCTGAATAACTCACCGTAGAGCAGTTTGACCAAACCTATCTTTGCTGGGTTTAACGCAAAACTAGACTGCCATTTGTTTTGCTTTTACCGAAACAAAAGCTAGCAGTTAGCTGTCGGAGGAGAGCCATGGCAGGGCAGACCATATTTGTTCGCTCTCTACCAGATTCAGCCACAAATGAACGACTTGAGGAAATATTCTCTGAAATTGGTCCAGTGAAACAATGCTTCGTGGTCAGAGAAAAAGGTGTTGTGTCTCATATCTATTATGTTAACAAAATTGATGCTAAGTTAAAGAAAATGATAGACTGCGGTTTTGCCTAACAAGGTTTTCTTAAGACTGTTTTAACTCTGCATCCAGGTGCAGACAAATGTCGGGGGTTCGGATATGTCACATATTCCATGGAGGAAGATGCACAGCGAGCTTTGAAGGAAATAAAGGAGTACGACGGAAAAAAAATGCATCTGACTGTAGCAAAGAAGAAACTTAAAGACAAGCAGAAAGCAGGTTTGTTTAAAGATACCCCTAAACTACTTATTAGAGGGGTGCTAGTCCGCAAGCCATGAAATAATGTGACCTGTGTCCTTCCACAGTTAAAGAGACAGCTCCACCAGCCGATCGAAACGAGCAGAAAATTAATGGCATGAGGAAACAACTGCTTAAATCAAGGCTTATTATAAGGAATCTTAGTTTTAAGGTACAGCATGTCACATGTTGGTGAAAGCACACTTTGATGAAAACCACTGCTAACACATGTCTTGTTTGCCAGTGCACAGAGGAAGATCTAAAAGAGACATTTGGAAAGTTTGGATCAGTCCTTGAGGCCAAAATTCCCCTCAAACCTGGTAATAATATTTAACAAAATATATAGATAATTGAGATCTGTTACTATTAAAATCCTACAGAAGAGCAGATTTCTAACTCTAAACCTTTAATTCTTCCACAGATGGAAAGATGCGGGGATTTGCATTTGTCTTGTTTAAAACTGTGTCTGGAGCTGCAAAAGCGCTTAAAACATTGAACCTGAAGGAAATAAAAGGTTGGTCAATGGAACTGATGTGTGTGTCGGGCGGGGAAACACCTCACAGTTGAATTATTTTATGGTTTATACTATGTTGTAATTACTTAACATATTACCCTTTAGGTCGTCAAGTAGCAGTTGACTGGGCTGTGCCAAAAGACAAATTTCTCGCCTCTCAACAGTCCTCAAGTTCAGGTAATTTGACTTTTTAGCCTTTCTTTACTGTACATGTATTACTGTAGATGTTGTCATTTAGTTTCTCCTAGCACTGTTAGAGAGGTATTGAAATTATCACACACTTTGATGCTACTGCATCAATTGACCCTAATACAATTATATTTTTCCCCAGGCAACAAGAACAAAGAGGAGGCTGTTACAAAAACAGAAAGTGACACTGAAGATGAAGAGGAAGGAAAGAAACAAGCTGTGGCTGGGAAAAATAAGTGAGATCCCTTTTCTTAATGTAGCCCTACTTGATGCTAAAATCACTGTAACTTCTTAAAGTTTTGGTGTCCTTTTTTAAATTTTATTTTATTTTTTACAGATTTGGTTCAAAATCATCCGTGCAGCAAGTGGGAGAGGAGCCGTCATGTGATGAAGACAGCAGTGAGGAGGATGAGGTTAATGATGAGGATGATGAGGAAGATGATGAGGAGGATGATGAGGAGGAGAATGATAGCTGTAGCGCTGGTTCAAATTCTGATGAAGAGGAGGAGAACGATAGCAGTTGCCCAGATTCAAATTCCGATGAAGAAGATGAAGACGATCAACTGGGTATACATTCTTGTGCCTCCCCCTAATTTTTTTTGCTGTTGTTTTTTTCTCCTTCAGAAAAGTTCTTTTGACACCCATTTTTTTTTCCAGCTCAAAAGAAAACCAAAAAGAAAATTCTTCCATCAGATGTGAAAGAGGGTCGAACAGTTTTCATCCGGTACGTACATTTTTCTTTCTGCTCAGTCCTAAACCCACTTTAACGTCCAAGCAGTCATATTCATATTTCTTTTATAACGATTCAGAAACTTATCCTTTGAAACGGATGAGGAAGGTCTTGAGGAAGTTCTGCTGCAGTATGGAGAGCTCAATTACGTAAAGGTTGTTCTCCACCCAGACACAGAACAATCTAAAGGTTAGCCGGCAGTACTTGAGATTATTCTCTTTTTGCCACTTTGTTTGGAATCCCAGATTGACAGGTCTTTTTTCCCCCCACCAGGCTGCGCCTTTGCTCAGTTTAAGACAAAAGAGGCTGCAGATAAATGTATGGCGGCAGCCCAAAATGAGACGGAGGTGAGAATATATGACTGGATGTGCATGAATTGTAAATTAGTACCATGTGTCTGCCTGCCGCTGTAAGGCGTCATCAACTGTCTACCTGTGTAATGCGAGTTAATGGTGCCGTCTCCTAAACTCTGGTAGAATGGCGGCATCCGTGTGGATGGCAGAAAGCTGTTTGTTGTTGCTGCTGTGAGCAAAGAAGATGCCGTGAAGCTGAAGGTCGAAAAGAAGAAAGTGGAGACAGGCAGCAGAAACTTGTACCTGGCCAGAGAGGGATGTAAGTCAAAGAATTTGTCAAAACATGCTATATTAGAAAAAAAAACAACAACAAAAATGTCTGGCTTGTATAATAAAAAGAGGGTTAAGTTTTGATTGGGGTGTTGTCAGTTTTACATGTCCTCTTCTCTTATTCATCCATTAAGTGATCCGACCTGGAACCAAGCCTGCAGAGGGTGTATCAGAGGCAGACATGGAAAAAAGAGCTCGGGTGAGCGCATTTTCCAAAGACACTTAATGTTGGAGATTTGTAGGCGTCTGTACACCATCTTTAATATCATGTTTCCATAAACTGCTCTTATGACTTGTACATTGACTGGTTAACGTTGTTGTCGTCCTTCCCAGTTTGAGGAAATTAAGCGGGCCAAGCTCCGTGACATCGGCGTGTTTGTGTCAAAGACTCGTCTGTGTGTCCATAACCTGCCAAAGTCAGTGGACAATAAAAAACTCAAAGCGCTCTGCTTTCAAGCTGTGAAAGGAGTCAAAGGTTTCCGCATAACAGAGGTGAGGTTGAACGTTAGAGATTTTAGGCTTTGTACAAATAATATGAAGTGGATTATTGGTCTGCTTCAGTTTTTTCCGGCTAGGTACATTGTACTGTACATTGAGTTTTTTCATGTTTGCGTGTTGACGTCTTGCTTCTCCCTTTAGTGTCGGGTCATGTACGACAGGAAGCCAGAGAAGGGGAAGGTAATGGGACAGTCACTGGGCTACGGCTTTGTTCAGTTTCAGAGCCATGAACACGCTCTGAGCACTCTTCGCTTCCTAAACAACAACCCTGACATCTTCGGCTCACACAAGGTACTTAAAAAAACAACAACTCTTTAAACAATCGCTGGTTCAGCATATCAGCTTATGTCACAGACATCTTCACCTTTTCTTTTTGGTTTTGTTTGGCTTTTCAGAGACCCATTGTTGAGTTTTCTCTGGAGGATACAAGGAAGCTGAAATTAAAAGAAATGCGACATCAAAAAAACAAGGTGTTTGTTAAGATTTGTTTCACCTGGTGCTATGAATGCCTCTTTCTCCCACAGTAAGCTGCACTTTGCTGATTTTTGCAGGACTTTGCCCAAAATCAGATGTTGAAGGGAGGAATGAAACCTAATTTCCAAAAATCTGCAGATGGCAGAGGACAAGTGATGGGTGGAAATAAAGGACAGTTCTTTTCAGAGCGGAGAGGAAAAGAGCAAGGTAGAAAATATAAAAATATTTTTAATGCCTGTTTCATTTGACTCGAGGAAAAATATAATTGTAAACACACCAGTTCTTATGAATACGCATATTAGCCATAGTGTAAAAAAACAACAAAAAAAACGACACTATTAGAAACTAATTGACTTGATCTGGACTAAAATATTTCTGCACCTTTCACATTGTAACGTTATACATTTATTTATTTTTTCACTGCTCACATCTTTGTTCATTAGGTATTTCCGACAAGAAGAAATCGGACCAACGCTTCTCAGGTTTCCAGACCAAGCCAGAGGTTGAACATGTAGATTTGAAGAATGGGAAAAAAAGAAAGAGCGTTTTACCGTTTCCCTCCCATCGGGGGCCTAAGATCAGGTTTGTCATTGTTACAAATGACCTGTACACATTTCATTCATATCTGTGGATTATTCAAGAAATCTTTAGCAAAGCAGCTTTTTGTGTATAATTGTGACATGCCTATGTGCCTACATGCCAGTCATTTAATGTAATAATGATGGGTTTTCCTTACTGATTAGTACTTTTCATGTCTTAAAGCAGTGGTTCTCCATCTTGTCCAGACACTGATATATTTTAGCAGACTACCCATATGAAGATCCCAAAATCTGGATTGTAATGATTTACTCTTGTGTGTTGCAGAATGCGTGATAAAGGAAAGCAGCAGGTCCCACCTCCCAAGAAAGCAAAGCTCGGGTCCAAACAGAACGAGCATCAAAGGCGACAGATTGCAAAGCCCATGCAGCCCAAAAACAAGGTTTTCCACACTGTTTTGGACGTATTTATGTGAACATTTAAATATAAAGACCATTTGTAAAATCAGAGGTTTTGGTAGAATTGGACAGAATACCTGAGTTTAAAATTTGACCACTGCCTGTTCTGGCCCTCAAATGAACCAAAAACAAAGCTTGAGTTTCTTGTAAGGACTATTTGGCTTTCCAAATGAAAAAGGTTTTAAAACTGTGGGTTTTGTAGACTGGAGATAAGAGATGGTATTCAGGAAAACATGAATTCTCGGTGAAAGTTTATTGTGATTACGACAGTTCACGTGGATCTTTATCGTAAATAAGTACACGGCTATTTAAAAAACGAAACAAGAAAAAAACTTGTGTAGTTTGTGTTTCTGCGTCTTTCAAGGACACTAATTCCAATTCAAGTCAGCTGATCTGGACTGTTGGATGTCTCGCTATGCAAAAAAAAACAACCACAAAACACATAGCTTTAAGCAGTCTGAACACTTTTACAAAGTGTTTATTGATTTTTTTTTTACCGTTGGACTTGAAGAAGAAAAGATTCTGCATAGCTTTAGAGAGAACAATATATTTCCACATATTTTCAAAGACTTTGCACTCTAGATCCACACAAACTTTAGTTTGTAAAAAGTCCTGTTTTTATTTATTTGTTTTTTGCATCGTGATTCATCATGTTTCCCTCTACATTTTCAAGGTGAAGACTTCTAAGAAGCATTTCCAGAACCGAGGAGGGGACCATTTTGATAGTCTGGTGGAGCAGTATAAGAAGAAACTGATGGACAGCGGCAGCAAGAATGCAACAATCAAAAGGAGCAAGTGGTTCAATAGTTAAAATGTGTGTGAGTGCGTGAGAGAGAAAATGTGCCGAAGGAAGACGTCCTCTATATATGACATCATAAGGTTCCAAATTGATTTTATTAAATTGTACAGAACTATTTCCACAGACTTTTTTGTAGTTTATCTTTGTTTTTTTTTAAGCCAGGTTCATGTTTTTGTAACAACTTTAACATGAAGGCTCAAGAGGAGTTATGTGCATTTTCTTTCCATGAGCATACGTGAAATAGTTTTTCTGTTGGTGTTTGTATTAAAATCTTGCTTTACAATTTACCAGATTGATTAGTTTATAGTGACACAATTGTGAGACATTGTCTTTGTTTGTGTTGGTTTAGCTTAGGAAAGAGTTGTACTTTGCATGAACGTGCAGAGTGCCCCTTATGTTTGAGTGGGTGTTTATAAAAAAACACAGACCTTTTTGTCCTTAAACCGAGCCATAAGGAACATGAAACCAGGAAAATCACAAATTATATCCTGCAATAACCTGATCACGTGGCTCTCAAGATTATTCTCTGCTTATGATAGTCATTACACAACACTGTCAATTCAGTTAAAAAGGTTCAATATTTATTAATCCATAAATTAGAAAAAGGTGCTCCAGTTTGACAAAAATACTCAAGACATTACAAACAGTTTAAAAAATAGTTATTTGTAGAACAAGTGTTGATATTGCACAAAAGAAAGTTTTCCATCATTCTTACTCGGTATTCATTGGTCTGTTACTGGTTGTTCTGTTTAAAGTCAGTTTACAGGAATTTCCATTGATGACAGACATAAAATGTCCTCTGGCAGCCTGGTGAACAGACCTTTTTAATTTAAGCCCTATTAGTCTTTGTGAGAGCTCTTTATTTTGCCAACAGTTTTGTCCTTGTAACCTGTAGTCATATGCTCTTGTGAAAAATATATCACAGGTTACTTTTTAAATGCTGATGTGGAGAGTTTACACAAGATTGTCCAAAATTGAGTTGGCAAATAATTGATACATATGGTGTATTCACATTAATCAACTATTTTGTATATATATATATAAATAAGTGCATATATAGGATTTTTTCCCCCCAGAAGGATTTCACACAGTTTTTTCAGTCTTGGCAGATTTTGTGAAACACATGCCAAGGACTTGCATAAAATGTTGCAGATGTCCATCTTTTTCTTAGCAAGTTTTTAAAACACTCAGGTCCTGAAGCAGCAGATTAAGGAACTCCTTTAGTCTCATGAGAGTCACAATTGTACGAGTTTCCGTGTATGTTGTGATGGTTTGGAGCCTTTGCAGCCATCCGGGGACTTCAGACATTTGTTGCATTAGTTTGCATTTCCTCTCTTTCCTCTTGATCAAGTACAGTGACAGAGAGGAGATATCTTTCTTGATTTGACTGACATTGTTAAAATTGTCAGGGATCAGACGGTTGCAACCTTCCAAGACCACCACGACGGAGGAGATTCCACCAATTCTGTCAGAGAGTTTTTCAGGGAGCAGGATGTCGACGGCCTGTGGATCAAGAAAAGGATGAATCAGTAGATAAAAGATCTTCAACCTCACAAAGTGTTTTCTATTTCCAAAAACAAAATAGCGTACACTACCGTAAAGTTGCTCAGCCTGTGTTGCAGCAAGAAAACATCATTCGTCACTTTTGATATGATATTTTCCTCTGATAAGGGATGTGCTCCACCTATTCTCAAAACTGAAAACAGATAGATGAGGAATCCCAGAGTGAAGTCCATTATGGTTTGTCCGTGGATATACAGAAACCTGAGGGGCTAGGAGAGAAGTAAGGATTAACACAAACATTCTAACACGTTACCTTTCCTTTTTTTCACTGTTATGTCACCGCACTGTAAACTCGACAATGCCTTCATATTTGAATTTACACATGAGAAGTACATCTACTTTCAGTTATTTACTCAACATGCTTGATTGTCGAAGCAAATATTTGTGATGTAGGAACCTGTGAATTTCTGACCATTCACAGGTATGAAGATCACAGAGACTGGCTAACCCTCCCCGTTTTTGTTTGGTTTTTCTTAAGATAACATCTTAAACAACTTCCATCTTTCAGGCATTAACAATTATTTTTCAAACTTCTGTAAAAAAAATATGAGAAGGCAATTGTATTAAAAAAAAATGTGCAAAAAGCACACCTTAGCAACATTAAAGGCAGAATGAGGGGGATAAGACATTATTGAAACAAAATAGTAAATAAGACGTGCAAAGCTGTGGAGTAAAGTCTTGACCTTACCTTGGTTGATGTCTATGCGTCTGGTTGATGTTAGGCACCATCGGGGTGTCTTATAGTAGCCCACTGTTGACTCATCTCTTACTCACTCTAAACCCTTGACTTACCTCTCCCTTTCCCATACCCTTGGATTCCGTGAAAAGGGCTTCAAGAGTCACTCATTCAAAATGTATGGAAAAGTGGGTCCACGGTTTTTACATGACAACTCTGTTTTATACTTTCCCAAAGTTTGTATATTTTGGAATGATTTACAAATGCAACTTTTATCCCCATTTACTTGTGAAAGAGAGTTTTATCAAAATATTCAAATTTTCTTTTGTCTTTCCTTTTACCCTTCCATCGCTTCTGTCTTACATCCTTTATACCTTCCTTCCTTCCTTCTTCCCTTAGCTCTTATGGGATTTAAGATGGCTCTTCTGTATAATCTTACTAAATATGTGGATTGAACAAGCTATTGTTTTATTTCTTCTTTGTTTCCCTTCCAACTTGCTGCTTTCTTCACTTTGTTGAAGATGGAGTCTTTAATGTTCTCCTTTGGATATTCCATCATTTAATGTGTAGAAGAACCAATAGGAAACGAGTTACCAAAAAGGAAAACAATGATTTCACATACCCTCACACAATCTCAGCTATTAAGTGGACTTCATTTGGTGTTTGTCTGAGTATTTTCAATATCAGAAAATCCTCCTGCAAGGCTTTTTTGTAAATAAAAATTGCTATGTGTGAAACAGTTAAATGCTTTTCATGCAGAGTGAACTACAGATGTCATATAACTAAACTCAAGATATTTGTCTTGAAATGGTTTAACCTTGTTTTTGTTTTTATATACACAAGCTTTTGTTTATTTTGTTTCTTTGAACCAGCACTAGCTCAGATAGGCTGTTATAACTCATGGGTTTTTCTGTGTGTGATTCATGATTTGCTACAATATGTTTTTCTGTGAGTAAAGATAAATGAGGTTGTGAAAATCATATCCTTATGATAGATTCCCCCAACGGTAATTTACAGTAAATTCTGTAAACTGCTGGGATCTCATGATCTAATAGAGATATTAGCAGGGGAGATTCTGAGTATAGTTTCTGAGAGGAAAAACTTAGTGTGACATAAACGGTTATAGTCTATTGGTTAGCACTCATTTATTCAAAGTCTCAGGGCAGCACTCTAACAACTTTAGACAACGGTTTGTGTCCAATCCACCCCCCAAACCCCCACCCCCAAAAAAACAAAAAAAGGAGGCCTTAACATCTGGGATTACTAATACTGAGCGTGACGTCTCTGGGATGTTTAAACTTGTAGGAAAGTTTTATCAAGATGATGATGATGGTCAGCATTGCACGTCTCTGTGACGTCTCTGTGACGTTCAACTCGACAGGAATGGTTAAGTAAGATGATAGTCGTCAGCTTTAACGTAACAAAGATATTTGTCTTTTATAAGCAAATAATCCATTTAGTCATTTTAGTCCTGAAATGATTTTCTTTTAATTGCAGATGTATATCACAAGTTTTTAGTTTAGCAAGATGTGAAAACCCCCTAATGAGGCATTTCCTCTTCTCCTTGCAAAATTCTGTGTTTCTAAGGTCCTTCTGTAGCCTGAGTTTATTTGCATCCCCAGATTAGTTCTAAAAAACAAAGTCAATAAAGTGTTCTTTTGTTGGTTTACTTGAAAATAATGTAGCTTTGGTTGTCCGTTTCGATCAGCCAGAGTGAGTTTTCTGCAAGATGTTGGCACAGGATTCATAAAGGTTTCATGAGTACTCTGTGTCACATGATTTATGGGAGCATGTGAGTAACAACCTGAGAGGTAAGTAAAACAAACTCCAGGCATTGGGTCACAGGGAGAGATTAAACTTTTTGGAAAGGTAAATGAGCCCTTACTAGTAGTTGGCTAATATGTCACAGTTCTCGTTTTATAGTCAGATTACTTATCCAGATGTTGCATTGAAAAAGTTATCAGTCTCCAGGGGACTTGTTTCAATGGAACAAGAGTTAGAGGAATGTCTGGAATTAATTGATTCTGTGTGGGTTACAATCCAGCACAGTGTACTGTTTTTAAGAATCAGGGGAAAAGAGCAGAACTCAGTCATTCACATTCATTAATTTATTCACTGTCCATACTGCTCATTTCTGCTCAAAACAAAAATTATGCATTATGAGAAATTGCATGTCTGGATTTGGGAGAAATGAGTGAACAAATGCAGACTAACTTTTATTCATGTGTCAGGAATAGTTTAGCAGTGAGCTGCAACCTTTCCAAACATCTTATTAAAACACTGCTTCACATATCCATCTGTGTTGAATTACGTTTCAAAAGCTCTTTTTCAGAGAAGCGGCCAATTCCTGGAAGTTCAGAAAGGAAATTCACCAAAGGTTTCCCTTTTGAAACGTTTACTGAATACTCATAACATTTAAAAGAAACATAATTTCACTTGAAATTGTAGCCTATTCTTGACAGAAAACTAATAATTAGAAAATAGAAAATATTATGTCGGATTCTGACACTAAACTCGTAGATATGTGTACATCTTCATTTGACAATCATATCAGAGTTAATAAAAAACTATTGAACATATATATGCAAAGGAAGATAAGGGTTTGGGAAGTCAACACTCTAGCAAAGAATGAGACAAGCAGAAAGAAAATCCATCTCCCATGATTAATATACAGGTCTCTCTGTGTTTACGCTTACTATCTTTTTTTAAAATCAACAATTAGCCATTGGAGAGTATGCCAATATTAGATTAAAATATGTGAACCTGACCTGCT